ACTAAAGTATCATCAGAAGTAACCTTATTGGAACTTCCATTTTTATCATAAGTTGTCCGATTGGGAGACCCCTGATTTGCTTGACCTCTTAACCTTATTGGAGCTACTTCTCTAATTTGCTGTCTAATACCAAAATTTGGTAATTGGAACCTATTGGTCAATACACTTGTAAGTCTTTCTTTGTTCACCTTACCGATATCCTGTTTTTGCATGGATGGTCATTGATCGAAGGTTTAACACTAACGAGATGCTACAAAACTGTCATGTGTAACAGAGCTTTGTCTCTAGATATCTGTCTGATGGGTTACACGAGAGGGGGGACACACTCATTCCTTAGGAGACAGCTGGCATGTTGCGCACGAGTATAATTAACTAGTTTGGTTTAAGCTGGATGGTTCCTCCTATGATAAAGAGCTTCATAAGATTGTGTTTTCTCATGGTGAAGGGGTTAGGAAGATGGTGAAGTCATAATTGCTAGGGACTATTTTTGCTAGCTTGTGGTGCATATGGCTTGAGAGAAACCACTGGATATTTCATGATTGATACTAATCACTCCAGGAGTTGTGGGAGAGGGTAACTGTCTTGAACACCCTCTGGGTCCAAGCTCATGGGAATTATTCTGATTTTCTGATTTCTGAACTACATCAGAACTGGGAGGTGGTCATTTATTCTTCATTTTGATTTTTCTGCAATTGTATCACCATTTCCATTCATTAATGAGGATGTCTTATTCTTCTTATATGAATTCTTTTCTCTTGTTCCTTGATATTACTTTTTCTATAACAAAAAGCAACATATTTTTTGAGACAAAAAAAACAATATATTAGAATGACACCAAAAAGAATTTCTTATGTGCTCTTTTTTTTTTTTTGAATAAAACATATAAGGTATCATTGAATCATAGCACTAAGGGGGTACCATTCATATACAAAATTATTTACAAGTTAGTTACTATGTCAATGAAATCCCCAAACTCTATGATAGAAAGAATGGAGTGCCCCATCACCAAAAAACCCAACACCTGGAGCCATCAATATCCAACTCTAAACAAATTCTCTTCCTTTCCCTCAAAAAAGTTTCTTATGTGCTCTTGGGAATGAATTGTGTAATAAGAAGCCATTGTCCTTTGTCTCCTTGACTACTTCCTTGTTCAAGAAAGGAATAGAAGGGTTTTGAAGGGAATTAAATTTTCTTTTGATAGAATTAAGGACACGTGGTTCCAGATTCGCTACTTTTTGATTAGGGTCGTCTTCTTAGTTTGTTAAGGATTTATGGGGATTTTATTGATTATTTTGATTAATTTGTAAAGCTTAATTTTTGTAAATGTGTTGCACTCGCCTCTTTTAATTCTAAAAAATATATTGTTTTTTTCCTGAAAAGAAATTTTAAACAAAAATTTCTTTTGAAATAGATTAGTTACTCAATAAATACTTTTAAGAATTTTCTCAATTTTCTTGTTGTATGATGCAATCAAATCCTTAAGTGGATGTTTAAAATTTCATAAGTGTGATCTTTAAGAAACCCTATCTGTGATGTCTAAGTGTTTATTTCTAATGCCTTTAAGTAGAAAAATTAACCAGAATTTTGTCTATATCATTTCTTCCTTGATTGACTTTAGAAAAATATTTTATTTGTTATTATATGTAGGATGCATTAAGAGATAAACTCACCAAGATAA